TAGTAAAACACTTTCAATTAAGTTTTTTTAGATCTTGTTGCTAATTGTGTACTTTGAGTAATATTTTAAAGAGTTTTTATGAATAAGACCATATCAGCTTGGGTGGAATTTATTTGATTAAATGCTGCTACTTAAACTTAGCAAGCTTTGAATTTACCTTTGCTTTATGGTTAAATTTACTCTCGTCACATTTCACAACAGCCGCTCCTCCGACCGGAAACGGGAGAAATGGATTTGTCGCCAAGTCCACGGAACAAATATCCTCTAAGGCACGAAATACTTTGCAAACCAGGTTGTTGGCGATGGCCAACATCCGCGACGTCTTTTGGCGGCTCAGGTCCACCGACCAGAAGTATATTAGCATAATGAGCTGTCCTAGAGGTAGCTTCGGAAACTTGGCAAAGAAAGAATTTGTCCTAATGCTTCGTTTCATCTTGCAAGTATAACATCTCCTAAACAAAGGGTGAGACAAGATGAGACGACCGTTTTAAACATTTGCCGGGATTCGTTAATATCCGAGCTGTCTCGGGAAAAAAAAAAGGAAAACGAAATGGAAAATGAAGAAGTGACAAGGGAATCATACATCCTCTCGAACTACACTTAATTTACATTTTATCAATTGAAAACGGGGCGTCAACCGTGGCCCACCTGCGCGGTGCCTGTCGTTCACGAGGAACAAATTACGAGCAGATGATCACTAAAGCGCTTATGTTGAGGCTGTTTTGGTTTTCGTTTCGTTTTGTTTCTTTTTTGTGTGTTTGTTTTATTTTCCTAAATCAAACATATCAAGTTGGAGATTAAATAAGATTGATTTTAACTGACCATAATTATGGTTATATTGCTGAGCTTCTTAGTCGCATTTTAGAGGATAATGTTCTCTCGCGTAAAAGTCTCCATCGACTTCGCCAAAATTAATTTTTTACCGGAATACTACAAAACGAAGACTAAAATATTTGAGGCCTCAACACTTGATCTATAATTACTTTCATGCGAAATCTAGTAGACAAATTCTCCTCCCTACCATCGAAATCCGTCCACGTGGGCATCGGTTCGTTGAACCATTATCATGTCTTGGTTGCACACGCCGCAGTGCAATGGATTGGCCAATAATCCCCGGTTTTGAAACCATCGGATTATCCTTGAAGGGTTCGCGCGCTTTAAATTACTAAAATAGAGGAGATCCATGTTGCACACGAAATAACAAAATCAATCAGCCAAGGAGCGCGATAACAGACTATCAACCGCTATATTCGAACATGTCTACTACACCTTTGTTTGTCGTCATTGGTCGATTTGGTGCACTGTCATTCGTGCGTTTCGCTCCTCATTATTTTTCCAACTAGTACATGTTGTTTCCTCTTAAGTTCTCTTTGTTGTTGACCGGCTGTTATGTTGTCAACCGCTATCCCTATTGATGTTATTGGATGAAGTCTAATATGGATGGCTTCCTTGACCCTACGGGTCAATAACCTTAACCTGGTTCCAAACAAGAACGTGTCCTGTTTCATTAGCGTGTTGTGTATCTTCTGAGTTTTGAGTGTGAGTAAGCCGCGTCTCTTTTAAGTGCTCTTTATGGCTCAGTTATTGCTCTTCCTGTTTTCCAGATCGAGTTTCCCTTCCTCGATACGTCATTAAATTGGGACGCCAGAGGTTTCATTACCACTAATGCATACAGAAAGGATACTTGCACGGGCCAATACTTGGCCTTTGACCCACATCATCCTTAGTCAGTAAAGCGTGTTTTTGTCTAGTGTCTACACGATAATTTTGTTCTGACATAGGCGAAAGCAGGTCTGCCACAGCAATTACATTAAGAGGGTTGTTATTATCTCCCCATAAGATTTCCCCCATGCTACCCTGACTAATTTTGGTTAGTCAGCCAGTATATTTGAACGACTTTTATTAATATTCAAGATTCATTTGACACATGATAAATATCATTGGACTGCATTTCTGTGAATTCCCATTCCAGTCATTAACTGTGAAAGAGAAACAAATACAAAGAGTGAGGTGTGAAGTTTGAGGGAAAGTCAATTTCAGATGACAGGGGTGGGTAATAGGAAGATGAACCACTCTTAACAGTAAAAAAAAAAAGCCTTTTAGATGGATGATGTGACTTCCAACAGACAAGGAGGAACTCTAGGTCGAGAATGATAAATAAGTTAAACCCAGAAATGGCAGTGATTATGGCCATGTCAAGGAAGAGAAATAAAAGGCATGGATAGGAAATTATAAACTAAATTAAGTGCCAAAAATCAACTAACTTGTAAGAGACAGGGCTGACAACTTGGCATTTAGTATTCTGGTAATCTTTTTGTGGAGGAAAGGTGGGGGATGTTACTTTAAAGTTCAAATGTGAGACAAAAATCATTCACACCTACCACTTCTATTCATGCACAGCTTCATTGATACACAGCACACATCCATCACTTGTCCTTAGACAGTTCTACTAGGAAAAAAGGAGGAAAAACAAGTGGGAGTATGTCTTTCTCGTGACAGAAAGACATACTCCCACTATAACTAACCCTATTTCAGAATTGTTGGTGAAAATAATTTTTTATTATAGCAATACAAAAATATTTCACATATTTTGTGGTTTAAAACTAACACTTCTGACTAAAATGATCAATCAATTTCATTTTCTTCCTTTGCACTTTACTCTGATAAGTAGAGAAAAATAAGATTGAGACAATGCTCTAAGTCTTAAGCCAGACTCATTCCCAGTGAGCCAACCAGACTTTTTCTCAGCGAGCCAACCAGACTTGTTCTCAGCGAGCCAACTAGACTTATTCTCAGCGAGCCAACTAGACCTATTCTCAGCGAGCCAACCAGAATTGTTCTCAGCGAGCCAACCAGACCTTTTCTCAGCGAGCCAACCAGACCTATTCTCAGCGAGCCAACCAGACATATTCCCAGCGAGCCAACCAGACCTATTCTCAGCGAGTCAACCAGACCTATTCTCAGCGAGTCAACCAGACCTTTTCTCAGCGAGCCAACCAGACCTATTCTCAGCGAGTCAACCAGACTTATTCTCAGTGAGCCAGACTTAGAGTCCAGTATCCTCATTGAGTCAAAGCCCATTATCCTCAGCGAGTCAAAGTCCAATATCCTCAGCAAGTCAAAGTCCAGTATCCTCTGCGAGTCAGAGTCTGAAATCCTCAGCGAGTCAAACACCAGTATCCTCAGCAAGTCAAAGACCAGTATCCTCAGCGAGTCAAAGTCCAGTATCCTCAGCAAGTCAAAGACCAGTATCCTCAGCAAGTCAAAGCCTGGTGTCCTCAGCGAGTCCAAGACCAGTATCCTCAGAGAGTCAAAGAGCAAGCATGTTGAGCGAGTCTAGGCCTAGAATCCTCTGCAAGTGATAGCCTTGGATTTGCAGAAAATTTAATTCCAATATACCCTACGAGTCTTAGTATCATAAGCAAGTTTAATTCTTGACACAAATTACTGGACACACATACTAACCTTTGCAATCAAGCTCCAGGGGAATTGTTTGAATTTCTGCAAAAGAACAAATATGTTAGCCAAAACACTGTTACCAATGAAACATGAAAAAGTCTATAAGAGAGTGAAAAGGAACCTTTGAGTGCTGTAGAATTTTTTAAATATCACCCTCAACTTTAATCAAGTGGAAACCATTTCAATAAGTTGATTCTGTCTGTTTTACTTGCCTTTCATAACTCGTAGCTGTTGAGGATGGGGTGCATAAATACTCCTTTTCTGAATTTTAACCTTGATTCCAATGTTTACCATCAGCTGAGATAGCCATATCATGATAGATAGTCTTCTTCCTATTTAAAAATGTATAAATTAGTTATTAACAGATTTCCACCAAAGCTTGTGATAATTCCACTATTTAATTGCTTTGGCACTCAGTGAATTGGTGAATTACCTGGTTTCAGAAAGTAATACATTTTTTATTTAGCCCAGCCATCTCCTTACTCTCCCAAGCTGGTGTGCCAAATTGAAAATCCTCTCCCACAAGCCTAACTTTCAAGCTCTTTTCTTCAATAACTTGGTTATGCAATATGGTTTTACTATAAGTCTCAAAAAATTCTGTGCCTTTTCTCCTGAGTGAATAAATACAAAATGGAAAATACAGAACATATCTAAACTTCTTGGCTCTTTTAAAATTCCTTATAATGCATGAGATAAATGAATGAAAATCCAACAGAATCATAACCACCATGCATTGTGGCTAGTGTGGCATTACATTTCAATGTTTCTTTCCTTCTACTTCATCTGGTAATTTGTCTTTCACAACATAAAATTCAGTTTCTTTGACCAGAACTTTTTCAAATGAGTGTTTGATAACAATTTTCTAACTAGAACTTTTCGTAGACTGACTTACCCATCCAATTGGGTCTAACAAAACGATAAAGTTCACTGCCTGAGATTCTGAACTTGCATCCATTGTTTTTATACTAGAACAAATAGAATTCTTGGACATCAAAATAAATTACAATAACTTATACACAGTATTTGGCACATGAAAAGGTCAATTTTTGAATTGAAGTAGTTTCACCGTTCATACGTAGACCACTGAACTTAATTCTTGCCTTGAGAAAAATTACGTGTCACCCTCACACTCATTTTTCAAATGAATACTCCTTTCACAGGCGCTAAACAAGCCCTACCGGCTAAGATTGACCTAATTGTGGTGATGGCCAATAAATATGCAGATTAACACGGATTAAACCTTTTGAAGTGTTTTAATTCACTGCACGCGACTTTTACAACACGCCATGCTTTCCGCTACTCGAGATGCAACTCGAACCTACATTACACCATGTATGCGGCACGAAATGTCTCAATAGCCTAAACACTACATTCCCTTCCTTTGTCGCAATTAATTGCAGTTAATTGAGTTCAAGAAAAATGTCTTTATAACGAGCAACAACAATATCAAATACTCATAAACAATATGAGAGTTCAAACTGCAAACTGTTCTGAACAAAATCATGTTCAGTGAAAAGTCTAAAAAGTTCAAACAAGTCAGTTCATTTGTCCAGGACAAAGTCTTTAAATCTTCCAGGCAATTTCGTAGCACGGGTTGGTCTGCTTCTTGTCTCTGCCGTACTTGAGGTTGTGCTAGACTCAGGCATTGCTGGAGCTGGGCTTGGGGGGTTTGCTTCTCTGGAAGTCTGTTCAGGAGGAGAAGACTCTGGCTCTCCAGGGGTGTTGTAAGGTTTGACAAAAGAGCTGTTTCTCCTATACAAGGTGCCATTGTCTGCTTTCAAGGTGAGTTCTTGTCCTTCCTTGGTCTGGACGGTGTATGGCTGAGGTTCAAACTTTGGAGCCAGCTTACCAGGTGATTTGGTGTTTTTAAGCAGAACCTTGTCACCAGGGACTACTGGGTTGAAAGTTGCATTCCTTTGCTTGTCAGCATAGAGCTTACTAGACAATTTGTGGTTCCAGTCTCGGTCTCTGATGCTTTCATCCAGCAGGCTCTTGTTGGGGTGTAATTCAGGCAGTTTTGTTTTCAACTCTCTTCCGAACATTAGAGATGCTGGGGTCATCCCAGTGGTAGAGTGAGGAGTTGTTCGGTACGCCAACAGGAACTTGTTCAGCTCATCTTTCCACCTCCTTCCTTCCACTTGGGCTATCTTGAGCACTTTAAGCAAGGTTCGGTTTTGTCGTTCAACCTCACCATTGGCTTGGGGCCAAAGTGGAGGAGATTTTCGATGCTCGATGCCATTCTTAGACAGGAACTCTTCGAATTCTTCCGATACAAACTGAGCTGCATTGTCAGACTTGAGGGTAAATGGATAGCCGTAACGTACAAAGATCGGTGTTAGTGCTTCTATCATCTTCTGTGATGCGGTTGACCGCATAATTACCACTTCAAAGAAACGGCTGTAGTAGTCTACTACTACAAGTAAACTCTCTCCAGAAGGAAGTGGACCCAACACATCAATAGCTACATCTTGCCAGGGTCCTGTTGGTGGTTCTACTCTCTGCATTGGTTCAGGTGTACAGAATCCACTCACTACTTGACATCCGTGACAGCTTTTACAGATTCGCTCAGCATCAGTGTCCATTTTAGGCCACCACACTTTGGTTCTGAGTCGGCTCTTCATCTTGACTATGCCTTGATGACCTTCATGGGCTAAATGTAAGACTTGTTTTCTCAGGCTCTGGGGTATGACAATTCTTGTACCACGCAACACCAGTTTTCCAAGCACACACAGTTCATTCTTCACACACAGGAAATGGGGCATTTTGCACTGAGACCAGTCTCCACTCTGAATGTAATGTCTCACGCTGGTCAGTTCAGGGTCTTCTTCTGATGCACGTTCTACTTCTTTCGCTGTTAACACCACAGGTGTGCTCTCTTCTGCAATCATTTTCACTGCATCTGTTTCCTCTCCACTTCTGTCCTTTTGGTCCAGGGAGCTAAGTCTTGACAGGGCGTCTGCAATGTTGGTTTTTCCAGGACGATACACAACTTGGAAGTTGTAGCTTTGCAGGCGGAGCACCCATCGTTCGATTCTTGCAGATGGCTTGGATGTACTCTTGTAAATACATTCCAGAGGTTTATGGTCAGTCTCAAGTTCAAAGTCACGACCGTAAACATACAGATTAAATCTTTCGCAAGCCCACACTAAGGCAAGTGCCTCCTTCTCGGTTTGAGAATATCGCCTTTCGACGTCGGTTAGGTTCCTGGACGCATAAGAAATCACTCTCCAGACTCCATCTTGGAATTGTGTTAGGACTGCTCCGATACCAGTAGGACCTGCATCTGCGACAATACGGGTTTTGCAATCATTCTTGAAGTATGCCAGTGTTTCTGCTCGTGTCAAGAGATACTTGAGCTTCTCAAAAGACTGTTGCTGAACTTCTTTCCATACGAATGGCTCGTCTTTTCTAGTCAGCTGTCTGATAGGCTCAGCTTCCTGTGCATAATTTGGCAGGAATTTAGCACAGTACTGTACAAGGCCTAGGAAAGATCTGACTTCAGCCACATTCTTTGGAGGTTTCGCATTCTGAACTGCTGCTACCTTTTCTTCACTGGGTGTAACTCCACTCTTGCTCAGGTCATGTCCGAAGAAGGTCAACTTGGGAAGTCTGAACTGGCACTTGTTTGGATTCAGGGTTAGTCCACACTGTCTGAGGCGATCTAGAACAGCCAGCAAATTCTTGTCATGCTGCTCAATTCCACATCCATGTACGATCACATCATCTGCAATATTTGCAACACCTTCAAAACCTTGCAGAACATCACTCACAATCTTCTGATACTTTTCTGGGGCTGACGTAATGCCGAACATTAGTCTCTTGTATCTGTAAAGGCCTCTGTGTGTCACAAACGTAGTAATTTGACGGGACTCTTCATCAAGCTCAATCTGGTGGAATCCCCAGCGCAGATCTAGTTTGCTGAATACAGTTGAACCATTAAGGTCATGGAGAACTTCTTCTATGGTAGGAATAGGATGCCTCTCTCTCTCGATGGCCCCATTCGCTCTTCTCATGTCAACACAAATACGGATATCACCATCTGGTTTTGGCACGACGACAAGAGGTGACGTCCACTCTGTAGGACCACATGGTACTCATCCAATTTCTTGTCTACTTTGTCTCTAAGACCAAAGGGTAATCGTCTCACTGGCTGGGCCACAGGCTTGACATTCTTGTTAATGTGCAACTTGAGTTGGAAGTCTTTAAGCTTTCCAACGCCTTGTAATATGTCAGCAAAGTCCTTTAACACATCTCCCGCATCACCTTCGCTGGTGATGGTACATGCCAGTGGTGTACTCGGAGGTCCAACTCTCAATACATTCAGCTTCTCTGCAGTGTATTTTCCAAGCAAAGTTTTTCCAGGACCTTTAACAACAGTGAACTCGTCCAAACAGCTTTTTGCAGAATCTTCACAGTAAATTTCAGCTTCAAATGTTCCCAGTACTTCAATTGGTTCAGTTTGACCATAGGCAAATAGCTTCTTGCTGCATTTCTGGGATGTGCACTTCACTCCTTGTTGCTTCAAACTTTCCCACGTAGCTTTGTTCACAAGGTTGCATGATGCTCCAGAGTCAATAAGTACATCCTTTAACTCTACACCTCCCACTTTCAAATGTATGATGCCACTTGTCTTGTTTCCGTCATTCACGGCAAAGGCATAAGCATCTCTTTGATCTGAGCCTTCTTCCACTTGATATGCACCATTCACATTTGGATTATGTCGGCCACTTGGAGGGCGTTTAGGATTCTTTGTCTTGCAACAAACAGCCAGATGACCAGTGAATCCACACTTGTTACATGTTTTGTTCAGGGCAGGGCAACTGTGGGCAAAATGACCGGTTTCATTGCATCTGTAGCACTTCTGATGCTCTCCTGGTCTTACATCTTTCTTATCTGGTTTCTTCTTCTTTTTCATCTTGTTTTTTCGCCACTTGGGGTTAACAGGTCGCGTTGCATTCACTTGATCATCTTTACTCGAAATCTCCAATGACTGCATTTGAAGGATGACAGACTCATGAACTCGTGCAACATCTTGAAGGACAGTAAGGGTTCCGTCCTGGGCTTTCTCCAAAAACTTCTTTCGGAGTTCCGGATCTCTGCACTTTTCAATCAACTGATCCCGGATAGCCTCATCCACTTTGTCAAACTCACACGAGACAGCTTTTTGTCGAAGGCGGCACACAAATTGATTGATAGTTTCGCTCTGGAGTTGTGCCATTTGTCGGAAACCGTATCTCTCGAAAGGTACGTTCACTTTTGGCGTAAAATATTTGTCAAGGATGGCTACACAATTGTCGAAGTTGTTCTGAGCTTCGTCTTCTGGTGCAAGCGTGTAGAAAATTTCTTGCAGTTCCATCCCACCTGAGTGCAGTAATAGAGCCACTCTTTGCGCTTGATTCGTAATACCTTTCGATGCCACATACAAATGAAAAGCACGTTTCCAGCGTTTCCATCGAACGGAAAGAGTAGTCGGTTCTCCCTTGGGGTCGAAGCAAGGTAAACCACGAACTTCAAGAGTCTTTGGTTCGACGATCGAGCTCGGCGCTGGTTGTGGCGGCGTGTCGCTGGTTTCACCTCTCTCGGTGTCAGGCATGTCGCGAAATTCAATTTAAGGATCCACAAGAACCTTTATCCTGCTTTATCCTCCTCGCCAAATGTGGTGATGGCCAATAAATATGCAGATTAACACGGATTAAACCTTTTGAAGTGTTTTAATTCACTGCACGCGACTTTTACAACACGCCATGCTTTCCGCTACTCGAGATGCAACTCGAACCTACATTACACCATGTATGCGGCACGAAATGTCTCAATAGCCTAAACACTACACTAATATTGTGGACTCAACAAGAAAAGGTCACGACCCCGTTAAGAGTTTCTTATTTTTCCAATTGCTCATTGAATAAGAAGTTTGGAGCCAAATCATACCGCAAACAATGCGTATTGATAGTTTCTTGGTCACGTCCGTTACGCATTTACTTATTGACATTCTTTTTAATTTTTAATCCAAGAAAAAGGCTAACTTCGGAACGAACGAACATGATAGATTTAAAAATCGAACTTTTGATGCAATTGGTTAAAGGAGTTGATTCGCTTCTCCGTGTCCTAGAAAAGTTCTGCGTTTAAGCTAGGCCAGAGTTCCAAATCAAGGTAAGTTAAAACCGTATTCTCGTTAACAAGCGAACTCGGTTCATAGTCAGATATGGATCATCTTTACTTTCGGAACGTAGTAATACTGATTTTACAGGGAATTTTATACGGAAAACTTTCCCAAGTCCTCATGGGAGCTGCGTTCGATTTTGATGCATCTCAAGACTCTAGTAAACAAGCTTGAATGGAAATAGTTATTGAATAATGCAACACTGTGGCCAAATTAATTCAAACATGGAATTGTTTCGCGTAATTCCGCTCAAAACCCTTCTTGCTATTGGAGGGTAATCAAAACCTTTGCTAGGCATGTACGATATTGTAAAAGGGCTACGTGGCACTAGCTTACTCGTAACATAAGTTGAACTGTGAACTTGTACAATTTAGCTGAATTTAGACACGTACTTACCTGGCTCTCGACTCTTTCATTGTGCACGAAGTATCAACCGGTATCATTTCAAAAGCATAGATGTGTCATCATGTCACAGATATGGATTGTTTACGCGATGTATTCCATTCCATTCCCGTTAAGCAACTTCCAAAACGACTGCCATTCTCGACAAACGCGTGCCATTGAAGCTGTAGGCGGACCTCTGGTTTCTTTTCAGAGCTGTCACACCAAGTTGGCACACGCTGTGCTTGTTAAAAATTAAAAGGAAAAATACATCGGAGAGAAAAAAAAGCGTGCGCGGAGTCCGTTAATCAAAGATGTAAATTACGACCTTGATGGCAACGACTCAAGAAACGGTTTGAGTAGTTTTAAATTGTGATATTCCCGCAAAGTTTGTAGAAAAGTTCTGTTTTTTACCAAAGTTTGACTGTTGTTGTATTCTGATTCGTTTGAAGACAAAGGCTCTATTGTCTGTTAACCTCAAGGACCTTTCATGGGATAGTTCAATCTCGAACCCAGGGTTATCTTGGCTTCTTGTCAGCGGTATGGTCGCTAAAAAATTACCTCAGGGAGAGTGAATCAATCAATTTTTTGATTGGTTGATAGGAAGAACGATGGACTCCGCACAGAAAGTGTGATTTTCAGAAGGGATCGATCGATGTTTTAACTATTGGGTTTTTTTTTTTTTTTTTTCACCTGAAAGTTTTCAATTGTAAACTTCCTGTCGATGCGTGGGAAACATCCAACCAAAGCCGCTGCATGCTGCAATGGCGAGAAGCTGTTTTTCATGGAACGATGGATTGTTGTTGTTCCTGCCAAAGACGTACAAGTAGAAATAAATCATTTTATTAAGTTGTTTGGAGTAAAAAGCAGAAAAGAAGGCATTGAAGAGGCCATGCAAGCGATCGGATATGTAATTGTAGAAAAGTACGGTATCAGAATAGCATAAAATAAAAAATTTAAAAAAAAATTGTCGGGCATGCTCGCTACAATCTTGTATTCAATATCAAAGAAGAAATCGAGAAGTTTTCCTTGACATGCAAAGAAGATCGCGAAGAAAGGGTTCTGTATTTGAAAACACGGAAATGAGGTCTGTCGCCATTCAAAGCCCTTCTCAGGCCACAGTTTCACTATCTGCTTTGCAGCAAGTAAACCGTTCTAAAAATCCATTATACCCACGTCTAAGGTACTCCGAGAAGACACTTCAGATGTTAAAACAGAGGTTTTCCTTTCATATTTATATATGAATCTCAGCTTGTGATACATTAAATTGTCCCTTTTTACCGCCTATACCTTTACTTAAATTGGCAGAGAACTTTAATTTCCAAGTGGGCGCAGCAGTCTGCTCTTGTTAATGTATTATTTTATAATTTAAAAGAATATCTTTTATGTTCCTTAAAATACAAATAAGATTATCATTGATCCAAAACCGCAACTTTTCTATACAGCTACAAGAAATCGATTGAATGTATGGACTGAAAGCGGCACGATTATGTTTTTCCTATAGCCACCTTCTCCGAACCCGGAAAGTCTACAGTTTTAAGATTTTGAAGAGACAACCAAGGAATCAATAGGGATTGAAATACTTGGGAAGGCTGGCCATAGAAATCCTGAGGTCCTTTAGTATGGAGGTTTTACATATTGTCAGATTTAAAACTCTAACACTCGATCTGTTCACTTGACTCTGTCTTTAATTCTCTTTTATTACACAAGTTCATACAGCGGGGACTAGCTCTGATCTCTGGAGGAAAGTGTGGGTCACCGCTTATAAAGGTGACCCTTACTGAGCTGTCAATCTCTGACCTTCGTCATGCTTTTACACTAGCGAATTACGTCAAGCTACGCAGAGCGGAGTACGCATACTAAGTAGGTACCTTCCAGATGTTTACGCTGTACAAAATGATTTTCTACCTTAAATTTCTTAGTCATACAGTCAAGTTCGGGCAAAACAGAAACAAGGTTGACAATGTAAAAATTATAATTCCTCGAAGAAAAAACAGAAAATTCAGAGAAGAAAGGGCGTACCCAAGGTACCGCCTCCAAGAGAGCTAAGTGCTATTTGATAAGTCCCCTGATATATTACCTTAAATTTCTCAGTCATACAGTCAAGTTCGGGCAAAACAGAAACAAGATTGACAATATAAAAATTATAATTAACCTACTAACATAATTCAAATCATAGTCGAGGAGATACCCTAAGAGAAAATAGTCCTCGAAGACTGCTACATAACGACAGAATAAACAGAAAATTCAGAGAAGAAAGGGCGTATGAAAAGTACTACATGTTTACACCTCAGGTCACCTCTAAGAAAAAGAGGTGTCGAACGTGTTAAAATAAGACCGCCAAAAGGAATAAGAAATGATCAACTGGCTTCTTATAATTTTTACTGAATGGCTTATGGTAATATATTATTTCTATTCATTTTCAACATTTCAATAAGTCAAAAAGCACCTATAATGAAAATTCTTGCTAGA